CACCCCTGGGACCCCCCAAATACCCACTGTGAGTGCTGTGATACTGCAGAGGTACCCTAAATCACCCCTGGGACCCCCAAACCACCCATGGGATCCCCTAAATCACCCCTGGGACCCCCTAAATCACCCCGGGACCCCCCAAATAATCACTGTGAGTCCCATGACATTCCAGAAATCCCCTGAATCACCCCTGGGACCCCCAAACCCACCCCAGGGATCCCCTAAATCACCCCTGGGATCCCCCAAATACCCACTGTGAGTCCCGTAACATTCCAGAAATCCCCTAAATCACCCCTGGGATCCCCTAAACCCCCCCTGGGATCCCCTAAACCCCGCTGGGACCCCCTAAACACCCCCCGTGAGTCCTGTAATACTGCAGAGGTACCCTAAATCACCCATGGGACCCCCTAAATCACCCCTGGGATCCCCTAAATCACCCCTGGGACCCCCCAAATCACCCCTGGGATCCCCAAAACCCCCCCTGGGATCCCAATAACACCTCTGAGACCCCCATAACATCTCTGAGACCCCCTAAACTACTCCTGGGATCCCCTAAACTACCCCGGGACCCCCATAACACCTCGGAGACCCCCTAAACCACTCCTGGGATCCCCTAAACCACCCCTGGGACCCCAATAACATCTCTGAGACCCCCTAAACCACCTCTGAGACCCCCTAAACCCCTCATTAGGATCCCCATAACACCCCTGGGACCCCCTAAACCACCCCTGGGACCCCCGTAACAGCCTGTGACCCCCCCCAAACCACCCCCAAAATACTCCAGGAGCCCCCAAACCAGCTCTGGGACCCTCAGAGCATCTCTGGGACCCTTAAAACATCCCCAAGACCCCGCCATAAACACCCCTGGGACCCCCAGAACCACCCCTGGGACCCCCCCATTGCACCCCTCACATCTCCCCCAACACTCCCCACGGGGGGGCTGTGACAGTGATTTTATTATTCATAATAATAACAACACCTTACTTTTATTTATTAACTAAATAATAACTTACTGTTGGCAATATAACTTGTAAAATATATTTGTAATAATATGTTGGGTGTACACGTAAACGTATGTGTTAAATGTAAATAAAGTTAGTTTCGGAGACATGAGGAAAGAGAAATTGAGAGAAATGTGAAGGGAGGAAAAAACGGCGGGAAACGTGAGGGGAGGAGAAAAAGGCGGGAAGCGTGAGGGGAGAAGAAAATGGCGGGAAGAGTGAGGGGAAGAGAAAATGGCGGAAAAACGTGAGGGGACGAGAAAACGGCGGGAAGAGCGAGGGGAGAAGAAAACGGCGGAAAAACGTGAGGGGACAAGAAAACAGCGGGAAGAGCGAGGGGAGAAGAAAACGGCGGAAAAACGTGAGGGGACAAGAAAACAGCGGGAAGAGCGAGGGGAGAAGAAAACGGCGGAAAAACGTGAGGGGAGGAGAAAATGGCGGGCCGCGTGAGGGGAGTTAAAACGGCGAGAGAGGTGAGGGCACAAGTTGCTGACAAGATTGAGGGAAAATCCCTCTTCTTTCACTACTTCTAGGGTTTAGGTTGAGGGAAGACCCTCTTTTAGGGTTCTAAATTGAGAGAGAACCTCATAATGCCGTTGTTTTATTGTTTAAATCGAGGAAGACAAGGGCGAGAAACGTGAGGGGGGGAAAAAAGGCGGGAAACGTGAGGGGAGGGGAGGGAGGGGAACGTGAGGGGGAAGGCGGCAGAAAACGTGAGGGGAAAAACGAGCAGAAAAGGTGAAAAAGGGCAGGAGTGGGGAAAAAGAGAGGGCTGGGCTGCCTGAGGGGTTTTGGAGGGTCACTAGGGGGCCTCGGGATGCTGAGGGATTCAGGGGTGCTCTGAAGGGTTCGGGGTGCTCTGAGGGGTTGGCGGCCTCCATGCCAAGGAGCTTTGGCGGCGCTGGGAGAGCCTGTGGAGAACTCCGGGGATGCTGCTCTGAGATTCTCCACAAGGTGAGCCCGAGGGGCCCTCAAATTCCACCCCGGGGAGGCTCTGGGAGGTGGGATCGTTCCTAAAATCCCTCCTTCTCCGAAAAAAACCGGGCTGTCCTGGGCTGAACTGTGGGGAATCCTCCTCTTAAAGAGCCAAAGGCACCCCCAGGGCCGCACCCCACCATGTCGGGGACGACCCCGGCGGAGGGTTGGAAAGGCCCCTGCCTCAGTTTCCCCCTCCAGGACCCTCCGGGTGACACTGAGGGGAGTCCGTGCCTCAGTTTCCCTCTCTGGATGACAAGGGCAGCGTTCCGTGCCTCAGTTTCCCCCTCCAGGACCCTCCGGGTGACATTTGAGGGAAGAGGGTTCCGTGCCTCAGTTTCCCCCTCCGGCTGTCACTGGGGGGGGGGGGG